CTATCAAAACGCCTGCCATTTGAAATAAATAAACTTTTAAGATATTCTAAAAATTAGAGTGAAAGTGCTTCCTTCAAAATAGCTTTGAAATTTAATAGAGAGAGTGGGTAGTTGCAAACTTCCACAGACCACAATGTAGTAGAATGCGAAAAACAGAGGGCATATTTGCCCCTTTTATATAATATGCATTATAATCTATAAATCTAGTTATTATGGTAGTTAACAGCTTGCACGTTCTAGAATGCATATAGACTTGGACTATAAACAAAGCCCGGGGCTCAAGTGATGACTTCTCCTTGACCTTCCTAAGGCCGGATAAAAGGGCATATTTGACTTGTTGAGTGGTTCAGGGCAGAACGGTAGTCCGAATATTTAAGACTCAATGATGGAATCTCATTAATCCCATTTATTCGTTGTGAATACGCACTCAACTGTTCAATTCTTCGTTTGACGATTTTGGAAATGAGAATTTAAGTAAGAAAAAGTTTCATTAGCTCTTGCCATGTTGCCATTTTGATAGAGTGAGCAGTAAGTCTTCGTCACAGTTCGATCCCCTACCACTTAAAATTTAAACAAAAATAAACACGGTTAAACCGCAATTTATCAGGCTGCTAGCTCCAATCTGGACATTTTAAAGTCTACAGATAAGTCCACATCTGTTGGCCATTTCAAGAGGACAACTTTTAATGAAAGTAAAATCGATATATATTTATACACATCACCGCCACTTTGAGAGATGAAAAGCGAACTGGCTTGCACTAACCCAGCTGTAACTAATTAATGAGCCCAATCATTATATATACAAACCTATAGATTCTCAATACTAAGGTTAAAATTCATGGGTTCACAAAACCCGTGACAGATACTTCCCGACTATACCGCTACACTAAGGTAAACTAGTCTTTCTTCTTACTGGTACTAACAAGATACCAGATCAGAGAAGCATTTGAGCAACGAAATAAAACAATACATGCCAAGACTGCCCCATGGACAAGGAATCAATAGACACGAGAAATAACGATCCGCGAAAATATTTTTATGTGTTTAATTAATTCCGAATTAAACTAATGAAATTAACTCAAATCTACTCGTATCAGTTATTAACACATCCAGATCGACTCAAAGCAAATAATTCAATAAGAAGTAAAATTAAATAAACGGACAATAAATTTATTAAACTTTCAGCAAGAGGAATTAATCAACTTCTTCAATAGTTGGACCTCCTGGAGCGCCGCCGGTATGGGCATGAGGGACACCTCCAGGTCTTTCGCCTGTACTACCGCTGGCTTCTTGATACATTTTAGTGATGATTGGATTGCAGATATTTTCAAGCTCTTTTTGCTTCTGTTCATACGTCTCCTTTTCATCTGTTTGATGAGAATCCAACCATTGGACTACTTCACTGCATGCTTCTAGGATTCTGTTTCGATCTTGCACGGGAATCTTCTCTTTCACCTTATCATCCTCAACAGTGGACTTCATAGTGAAGGCATAGCTCTCCAAAGCATTCTTCGCTGAAACACGTAAACGTTGCTTCTCATCCTCATCCTTATACTTTTCAGCATCATTCACCATTCTCTCTATCTCCTCCTTCGACAAACGACCCTTGTCATTGGTGATCGTGATCTTGTTCTCCTTACCCGTCGACTTGTCCACCGCCGACACATTCAAGATACCATTGGCGTCTATGTCGAAGGTCACCTCTATCTGAGGCACACCACGAGGAGCCGGAGGGATGCCAGACAACTCAAACTTCCCCAACAGATTGTTATCCTTAGTCATCGAACGCTCACCCTCGTACACCTGAATCAACACACCTGGCTGGTTGTCCGAGTACGTAGTGAAGGTCTGTGTCTGTTTGGTTGGAATTGTAGTATTGCGTTTGATGAGAGGTGTCATCACACCACCCGCGGTCTCCAGACCAAGAGACAATGGAGTAATATCCAAGAGGAGCAGATCCTGCACTGCCTCCGACTTGTCACCTGACAATATTGCCGCCTGCACAGCCGCTCCGTACGCCACTGCCTCGTCCGGATTGATCGACTTGTTCAACTCACGACCGTTGAAGAAGTCCTGCAGCAACTTCTGCACCTTTGGAATACGCGTCGAACCTCCAACTAATACAATTTCATGGATTAAGCCCTTATCCATTTTAGCATCACGCAGGGCTTTCTCAACTGGTATAAGAGTGTCTCTGAACAGATCACCACAAAGTTCCTCGAATCGAGCACGAGTAATGGTGGTATAGAAATCTATGCCCTCAAACAATGAGTCGATCTCGATATTGGCCTGAGCACTGGAACTGAGGGTTCTCTTTGCCCTCTCGCTTGCAGTTCTTAAACGACGAATAGCTCTCTTATTTCCCTTTATGTCCTTCTTGTACTTTTGCTTGAATTCGTTAGCAAAATGATTAACCAAACGATTATCAAAATCTTCACCACCCAAGTGCGTGTCACCAGCAGTCGACTTCACCTCGAAGATGCCGTCCTCAATCGAGAGAATGGACACATCAAAGGTGCCGCCACCCAAATCAAAGATCAACACATTGCGTTCAGCTCCCACCTTCTTGTCCAAACCATACGCGATGGCAGCCGCAGTGGGCTCGTTGATGATTCGAAGAACGTTCAAGCCCGATATGGCACCAGCATCCTTCGTGGCTTGACGCTGACAGTCGTTGAAGTAGGCCGGCACAGTAATGACTGCATCTTTCACTGTTTTCCCAAGGTAAGCCTCAGCTGTCTCCTTCATCTTCAACAACACCATGGAGGAGATCTCTTCTGCAAAGAACGACTTCTTCTCACCCTTGTACATTACCTCGATCTTCGGTTTGCCTCCAGCGTTGACCACATGGAAAGGCCAATGTTTCATATCATCCTGTACAACTTGATCTTCGAATCGACGACCAATAAGACGTTTGGCGTCGAACACTGTGTTGTCAGGGTTCATGGCTACTTGGTTCTTAGCTGCATCGCCAATCAAACGCTCGTGTTCTGTGAACGCGACATAACTAGGAGTAGTACGATTGCCCTGATCATTTGCAATGATATCAACCTTGCCATGTTGGAACACACCAACACAGGAGAAAGTGGTTCCCAAATCTATACCAACGGCTGGAGCTTTACTCATGATTAAGCAGTAAACTACAGTCCAAATTAAATAATTATTCAAATGCACTCAGTTTCTATCTCAGAAACTTAAATACTCATTATAATCATGTGCATTAGCCGGTATTAACCTGGAATATTCTCACCCAATGAAATACTAAGGTTATTTACCTTTCCATGAAAGTATTGGTCAATATTTATGGGATATACACCCGCACTTTAATGCGGTCTTATCATCCATGCCGGTTTGTTTACCATGCCACCAGTTTTGTTGCTTTCATTTTAGTTCACCTTTTCTGGAAAGTTCTACTGCGGTCTTAATGTCTCATATCTAAAGTTTAAGGCTGCTTAATGCAGGGTTTATGATCAACTTTTTCACCTATCTTTTCTGTACCCATCTTTTAAAGAAAATTAGAATTACCCTCATTAAGCGTATTGATCATATGATATTAGCTTTGCATTGCACATGTATTTATGATTACAAGTGGTAATGGTATTGGCTTAATGTTGATAACCCTGATCTTTTAAAACGTGTCCCAAATCGAAACAAGGTAAATGGGCAATAACAATAACCTCTTGATTTCGTATTCGCTATTACTTCGACCACATTTTTAAGTGATCAGTTTACTTACACTGGAGATGCTACTATTTCAAGAGGGTATGGGTGTTTAAAATACTCATTAAAAATTCGTCCAGCTTCCATGAACAAGAGTTGAATAAAGACCCGTTATTAGGAAGTTGAAATGCAATTAATAGCATTAGCATGAACTTGATACTCATCATATCAGTTGATTAAATGGGGTAAACCAAGTCCCCAAGATTGAAGATATAGTGACTCTGAAATTTACCATTTTTTCTAATGAGGATTACGTAATAGAATACCACCACCGTGGTGCACACTAGGCAGCATGTACTCATACGGCAAAAAGGCTATTGACCGGTAGTTGACTTCTGACTTCAAACTATCATGACCCGACTGTATGCCATATTCAACCACTTCCATAGAACTCATCGTACCTATTCTCTGCCTTTGTGTCTGTCTGTCTGTCTCTTTTACATCTGTGAATCACTCTTCTGTTCCCCCCTCTCCACCTTCTGTGACTTTAATGTTCCTCCCCTCTGTAAAGTCTGAAGTTAACTAAAGAAAAATGACAACTATCATAAAGCCTGTCACTTGATATAAGCACTAAATTATGTCGTTTACATAGTGCTTGAGAATGGTAACTATTAGCGTTTCTAAAACTGCCTAGATTCTTATTAAGACTTGAATTCTTTAAATGTACTCTAATGTGCCATTATTAATTTTGAAGGGTTATGTGGTTCCTCCACTGAACCTAAAAAATACAATTTCAAGCTTCTGTCAATACACCAAGTAGATTTCCATGCTGTCCGAATTAGACGCATTTCACGTCGATACTTGTGAGTGTGTGTGTATGTCATTTTTCTGTTTCAACGAATTAACCTAGACTCTCCGGAGTGAGCGAGTGTAAGAAGCTTTATTGGCTTTCAAGACGATCTTAATTTTGGACAAATGAATTAGCTGTTTGACGAAAAGTAGAATTCATAGAGAGTGAAGTCAATTTGAAAGAGACGCTTGCGTCTCTATAGTGACAAACTCAATTTCATGAACATAGTTCGCTTGATCAAAATATCGCATTGAAGGCACGATTTTAATAAAAAACTTATATCTCCCAATTTGGCATTTATAGAGAGAATAAAAAATGCAAAATTTGAAGATCTCGGTCTTTGAATAAGCTATTTATAGGGTTTTTTGCTCAAGGATGTTCTGCGTGATTCTCGTGTAGCTTTAGATTTAGATTTAATTGTGCCACAGTTCCTCTTTACAATAGTGAAGAATTTTATATTTCCAAATCATAGGGGTTTTATCGTGGGGACAAAGTTTGCCCATGAAACTGACTAAGGTTAAGAGAACGGGGTGAGATCATTATCGACTTTATAGTTAAAATTTAGTATAATTACCGTGTCTATTTAAAAGACGGTAAAAATGTGCTTAGAATAAGGAAATGATTTATTTATTTATTTATTTAATAATTTATATCAAATGGCAGATGTTTTGACAGCTATCATTAGCCTTTTAGTTGGCTTTAGGCTACACTGAGGGGAAGGTGTAAAAGAGACACACAAAGGTATGAAAAGGTGAGGTGAGTACTGTGGAAGTAGTCGAATATGACACACAGTTGGTTGATGGTAGTTTGAAGTCAGAAGTTAACTAACGGTTAGTAGACTTTTTGCCGTATTAGCATACGTTGCCCAGGGTGCACCACGAGGAGGTAAGTCTATCCCACACCCTAATAAGGAAATGATAAGAACGTGGATGAAGGCAATTGCGAGGATGGAAAAAGGAACATCCTCGTGAACTTTCAAGCCAAAGTTCGTTTGAAAGGTTGAATTCCGACCATGATTTCAACAACCACTAGGTGGTAGCTCAAGTTTTAATCGAGTTTTTGTAGCATAGACCCAATCTGACGAGAAACCCGAATTCTTCCATTTCAATGTTAGTCAGACTTGTCAAGAAGGAAGTCATAAAAGCTTCTAATGTAAAAAAATGGACTGACGAATTAAGCTTTCATAAAACTACAGCCATTCAGACCTAAAACTCAAACAACAGTTCTCTATTATAAAAATGATTTTGCTTTAATGAACTGGTCATTTGGTTACTGATTGGCTGCCTAATTAGTTAATGGTTGTTCCGATGGGTCTTTCTTCCTTGATAATTGAATGAAGATTCAATAAATAATGAACGTAGGTCGTAGGCTTCCCTACCTCTCCCCCCCCCCCTTTCTGAACTTGGTGGTCTTCCTCCACGGATGTGCTTTGTGCCGAAGTTATACTGGTGTTAAGCATGAGAAGTAGGTAATCGTCCCATCTATCTCAAGTGAGATCCATCTCATGGTCTTGAATCATCCGAACTATTTATTTGATTCAAAATTTGTTAGGTTTCTTTTCGATGATTATTTAAAACACTGGACTGACTCTTTTATAGTTGCATATATATTTGGGATAGGAGCGTCTTATTGGGCTGGTTGTGTGCAGTAACGCCATTTTTGAAAAATCAATGTTCTATCTCTTGGATTTTGTCACTGATATACTACTGATTTCATTTATTGATAGGCCTGAGGGTGTAAATTCTTCAATCGAGTCTAAGTTAAAGATACGCAAAATTTGAATTCTCCAGAGAAGAGGTTACATTTAATTTTACCCATCGCTAGTGTACGTATCCTTTCCGCTGCATCTTCAACGAAAATGGCCTTTCTGAATTCTGGCAAGCTCTGGTGACTGATTGGAATCAGTTTTTGAAGTGGATGAGGGAATTCGGGCGGTGGGACTTACCATCAAAATTAATCAGCCCAACAATTAGTTTTAAACACCACGAATGAGCGCTTGTTCGGGAAGCCAGATGATATAACAAATCAATAATTCCTTTTTTTACGAAAATCAGGTATCGGATGAAGTAAAATTCCTCGCAAGACATTCTATGCCCCCCTCCTCTACGAGGATTAGCTGTTATAAGATTTCGCATCGCTTGGCATGGGTCATGACGTAAAAATAGAATAAACTATCATAAAAGTGAGACAACTTCCAATAAGTACTTGATTTGTTTGTTAAGTGTTTAGACACAGTTGGGTCTCTATATCCTAACCATCGTTTTGCTTATTGTCTACAAAGGTTTCAAAACTGCTGTCGCTCCAGGGACTGTTCACATTTAACCTTGATCCACGATCTCAAATAATACTCACTTCTTTTACGAATAATATACAAAATCAATACGGTGGGTAATCAGAAGGGAACGATTTGGTAATGTTGTATTGTGAAAAAGGGGTGTGCGATAGACTTACCTTTTTTCCAACTTTGTGTCTGGCTCTTTTACATCTTTGAAACACTTCTGTCCCTCCCCCCCCCCCATCTAGACCTTTTTCACTTTGATGTTCCTTCCCATTTTTGAAGCCTGAAGTCAACTAAAGGGCTAATGATAACTATCAAAAGGCCTGCCATTTGATATAAATAAATAAAATAAAAAAATAAATATTGTGAAAAATGAAAAATGGAAATAATTTTAAAATATAACCACGCCTACTTTAGTAAACATGATTTCGCCTTGCTCAAATTTTTGTGCCCCTAATGATCGTCAATTTAACCCGTCCAAGTAAAATAAAGGTCATATTGAAAGTATAGTATCGTCATAGAATACAAAGCTACCCAAACCACATTTACCGATATGGAAGGAAACGATATTTCCGCGTAGATCCAATAGCTGTGACAGCCTTTTTCATTAAGATTTCGTGGAGGTCACGGTGGAGCAGGGGGAGGGTGGTCAGATTGTAGAGAAAAGCGTGGGCTGGAATTGATCAATTGTTAAAATTGGGTTGTTATTTTCGCTCTCAATTTTAGTATTTCAAGGTCGATTGAAAGAAAATTCCACTGTTATTTGCTACCAATAGTATTCAAAAGTCAGGCTTCATTTTGTCTTAAAATTGGACCAAGTGGCAAAATCGATTGTAAATAGGACATAATGCAATTCAGGAGAAGAGTACCATTCACGATTCAATTGGTTGGGTCTAAAACTAACCCGGATTCACGTACACATTACTTTTCGCACTTCCTCCCCTCCGCCCCGCCCCACCCCCAACCCCACCTCATTATGAAACCTGGGTTTAAGAAGTGTCGAGAGCTAAGTAGTTATCTTTTAAGTGGGAAATTAGTTTTAATTTAAAGTAGTCAGACACACAAAAATACAATCAACCATAATTGACTGTTATTTCAACTGAGAGTTATTAAGCACTTAAGGTAACAATATAGGTGGGGGGTAGGGGGGGGGGGGGGTGGGAGGTTGGGCACCCTAAGGGAATATTAGGCAATTGTGTAAAAGAGCATATCTTTCCTATTATTTTCTGAGTTTCTGTAGCAAATTGCTATATGAATTAGTCTTGACTTAGACTCAGAAATCTTAACCACAGTGGCAAGATCTCCTAGTCCGAAATAGCTTCCTCGAATGTTCCAATGAATTAGGGGAAGGAGGCCTGCGACGTGGAATACGCGTTTTTTGGGTTGTGTGTAAATGCTAGGTGAGGGGGATTGACATGGGGATTAACCGTTAAATATCGTTTGGGTGCAATGACCTTGCAATGTCTATTGATCATTGGGATTAGTCGAGATATCTCTGCACTCGTGACCTCATTTCCTTCTTGACGCCTCATCCAATATGTACTTCACGCGTCTACGCGACCACAGCCTACCGACAGAAACTTCGCATTAGAAGCAGCCAAAAATAAAAATTGTGCAAAAATTGTAGGGAAGTTCCTCGAGGTCTCTAATAAAATTTCCGTTCCAAGAAATGACAACAAATTCGCATTATCGGAAAATAAAATATATTTAGAGCGAAGGGGAATTAGCCATTGAGTTCATTTAGAAACGACCCCCACCATACAAAAATTATGGATCACCATGGAAACTTGTGAAACAACATTACATTCAAGTTAAGATTGAACAAGAAGTCGAGAAGATGAGAAATAGACTCCCCAACATGAACTAGGATGAATAAAGGCAATAATGGGTCCCCTTCATGTTAAAAATTTAGCCCTGCCTTATAACAAAATGTACAGATTCCGAAGTATTAAGAACAATGCTATGATGAAGTTATAAGTACTTTATAAATAGGATATGAAAGGTAATAGCGAACTAGCAACCAGAAAGGAAATTAATCAACTTCTTCAATAGTAGGACCTTGACTAGGAAAATTAGAATTTGCATCAGGTTTGCCTTTTGGCATGAAACCAGCACCACCAGCACCACCTGGCATTCCACAAGCACCACCTGCCTCCTGGTA